ATATATATATATATATATATATCACGCGTATAACCCTAGTGGAGGTAGGTTTGAACTCTGTGATGATAAGCTTGAGTCCCAGAGAGTTTCGTTGCGCCTAGACTTCTTCCGTAAGATTAACCCGGTATTCATCACGTGGCCAGAGAGTACCCAACCGATAGAAGTCCTCTTGATACATAATATCGCATTACTGAACTCCTTAGGAAAAACCAAGGGATAGGAGTCCCAATGGATAAGAGCCCTTGCCGTAAAAGAACACTAAACCATGGATTCCTTGACAATGATGACTGACAGGATGCTACAGCTCTGACACAACATGAATACGCTAACAATACTACAGAAAAGGTTTTGTCAAAAAATTATGCCAACTTAAATTACACAAACGTTAACTACTGGAAACTAACAATCTCCCCCTTTGGCAATTTTTTGACAAAAACCACTATTCAGCCGTTTTTGAACCTCTTCTCCCCCTTTTTGCATAAAAAATGCCAAAGAATTTTATTTTATTGAAAGAAGATATTGGGGAAAAAAAGAGGAGTAATATTCAATACGGTCAAGAATAGTTACAAACAGAGAATAGAAGCAGGGAGATGTACCTACATCAGTCATCGCTGTCTTGCCATAGAGTTGCAGAAAATGGGCAAGACATAGAGCGCACATCTTAGTAGACCATATGGGAAGTAAGTGCAGCAAGAAGTAAAGTTTACTAGAAATCTTCAGTAGCAGAACAACAAACAAAAACTGGCTCCATAGGAGCATAGCAACATGTCGGCAAAAATAGTGAATCAGGCCAAACTGGCCAAACATAACCCAGGGCAAAAACAAGCCCTTAAAACTTGCATAGAGTTTGATAATCCCTTTAGAGAAACACACAAAAGAAATTATTCTTCATCACTGAATTCCTCAGTGTCTGGTGTTCCTTCAATAGTTGCTGTGTCCCCCTCTTCATCTGGCCTGCTGGCTGTCAGTTGTATTTGTTGGCTCAACTTCTTTGTCATTGTGCTTCTCCCCCTGTCTCCTGTCACCTTTGGCCTGACGCAGTGTATTTGCCACATGAATCAGTGTGTCCCTTCTTGCAGCTGCCCTCTGTGCAATCTCATTGTGATAATCAATGTCCTGCTGTAGTGCCTTAATCTCCTTTTCCACAAAGCTGAGTTGATATTCCACTGAAGCCGGGTTCTGTGTAGGAGCTGTGGTTGTTCCTGCGACAGCCATGTCATTGAAGTGACTTCCTTCAAGGTGCCTTCCATCTACCTGCAGCAAAGGGGGTATGGGTTCTTCCTCTTCATTCTCCTCCTTCTCAAAGCTTTGGTCCTTTAGAATGCTGTAAATCAATAGTGGATAAGGAAGACCATTTTTGTTCTTATTAAATTTTGCTACTGCAAATTTCATCACCTATTTAAACACAATCCTACCCAGATCAAAAGGAGCATTATTTTTTATTCTATAGATTAAGGTGGCCATGCACAGAGGAACTGTGTTGGTATGAGTGGTTGGAAGCCAGTGAAAAGCAGTAATTCTAAGAAGGAGAGCATATGAACTTTTCAGTACAAAGGATGGTACTTTTGATTTCCCATGTTGGTAGTCCTTTAGCCCATTTGTAAGGTCATTCCATACAGTTTCTTCAGCAATAGGGGAAATCACAGGATTGGGGGTAGTGCCAAGAAAGGTATTTATGACTGAGGGTGAGAATTCATACAACTTTCCACGAACAAAGACTTTGTGGTAGGAAGGATCGCCATCAGTAACACCGGAATCAGATAAATTATAGAAAAACTCTTGGACTACTTTCTTCACATATGAACCAGGCAAAGTGACAGATTTGAATAGTTTGTTTGAGTGGAGTATGGGCAACAGATTTGTTTTCTTGTTAAAATCAGGCACATCAAGATTTCTTTGTGGTATAATGGACTTCTTCACAACATCAGGAAAAAATGATTTTGCAACAGTTGACTGAAAAAGTTTAACAAAAAGCTTCCCTGAATCGCAGACTGTTTTTGAGCCCTTGGTGCTTCTGGTCTCCCTTCCTTTGGTAGATGAGGTTGGAGCATCTGTTGGGAATTTTGATTTCTTGACGGGAGGAGATGGTGAGGGGCGCACTTCTCTTTCTTTTCTCTTCTTCATCTTCTTCTTCTTTCGCTCAGACTCTTAGGGCTTCCATCTGCTCTTCCACTGGATGCTCTGTGGGTTGAGTGGTCTTGGATTTTCTCATAGACCACCGGGTAGGTCCAGTGGTGTTCTGTCTTTTTGTGTCTTCTCCATCAGTCTTGCACACGAAATCTTGAAAGGGAACTTCGGAACATGTAACTATGGGTTCTTTTTTAAGAATTTCACCCAGAATTTCCTCTTCACAGCACCCTCTTTCTGTGCTAGGGTTTTCTGGAGATTCTTCCTCTGGGGGATTCAACGGGGTATACTCCAGGCGCAACACCTCTGTGGGTTGAAGGATCTGAAGGTACAAGCCATCATCATCTGAGAGAAGGGGCAGTGCTGCTAGTTCACCTGTCGTTGTAGATTGTGCTGGAGTAAATGAGGATGATTCGCCTTTTGAGAAAAGCTTGGTCCAAGAGGGCCTATGGAATTTTTTCTTCTGCACCTTTGGTTTGCCTTTCTGTCTTTCTGGTAGAGCCATTTTGAGACACACCATTGTCGCAGCAAAGAGATTTCTTTATTCCTCTTGGATTTCTTGGTGAGTTGCAGATGCAGAGGTCTGTTTAGGGCTTTACTACCCCCTAGGCGCCTTTTGATTTGATTTTGAAATTGTGACTCTCCGGTTCCCGTGCTCGGCAGATGGCATTTATAGAGCATTGTGCCCATGCATCTTAAATGCCTCCTTTATTTGTTACTTTTCAGCAGATAAAGCAATTTTGAACACCTTAGCTGACACTCAGTGTTTGCATGTTTTATTTTACAATTATTTGAAAGGTGCACATAGACCCAATTTGGATCTGAGTGTTTCAAATCTGTTTCCATCCAATGCCTTTGTAAAAATGTCTGCCAATTGTTCTTTTGTATCAACATGTTCAAGGATGATCACTTTATCCTCCACCAATTCCCGTATAAAGTGATGTTTGATGTCAATGTGTTTTGTCCGGGCATGTAGCACTGGATTTTTGGACATACCGATGGCACTTGTGTTGTCACAATATACTGGTATTGTATTCGGTTGTATCCCGTAGTCCCTTAATACAGACTTCATCCATAATAACTATGCACAACAACTTCCAGCTGCAATGTACTCAGCTTTGGCAGTTGATAATGATACGGAGTTTTGATTCTTGATGAGCCATGCAACAAGATTTCCTCCAAGGAAAAAACAGCCCCTAGATGTACTTTTTCGGTCATCTAAATTTCCTGCCCAGTCTGCATCTCTGCATCACTGAATGCTACTAGTTGTGCTGGACCACCTTTTTCATACCATAAACCGAAGTTTTTTGTCCCTCTGACATATTTTAAAATTCGTTTCACCTCCTTGAGATGCGACTCCTTTGGATTTGCTTGATATCTTGCACATACCCCCACACTGTAACAAAGATCTGGCCTGCTAGCAGTGAGATATAACAGACTTCCAATGATGCTTCTATATTGTGTTTCATTCACTGCTTTACCACTGTCATCTCTGTTGATTTTTTCATGTGTGGGACAGGGTGTTCTAGCACTCACTACGTCAAAAACAGATGTTGACAACTTTTTCTTTTAGTTGTCTAACTGTGTTGGTTTTAGTAGTCTTCCGAGCAGCTATCTGATATATTTACAGACTACTGTTTAAAAACAATTGTGTAGTGCGGTTGACGACATCTATTTTGTGATCTTTCAGAGTACATGTTTTTGAAGTTGTTCTCGTATGAGTAAGACATCTGTTTTCTAGAGTTAAAGACAATTGTAATTTTTTGTTGCCTATCTATAATATATACTACTGTTGTTTTCGACTTCAGACTCCTATTGTTTGGTGTTGTCGGTCAAAAATATAGATATCTAATTTCTAAAGTAGTTGAAAGATATATCAGACTGCTGCTCGGAAGACTACTAAACAAAAATAGTATTAGACAACTGTTATCTAGTGTTATATTTCTAAAATATAGACTACTAATTTTGTTGGATGTTAAACAACCGTTTCTTTCAATTGTATAGTGCGCAATAACACTACGCTTTTTTGCAGTTGTCCTTAAAATATTCAAACTATATTTTTGAACAGTAGTGTAATTGATTATCAGACAGCTGCTCAGAAGACCACTACAAATATTTTCATCAAACAACTGTTATTTTGTGTTGTATGTACAAATTAAGACTACTACTTTGGTCTTATTTTAAACAACAGTCTGTTTTTGTTGTATAACCATTATTAACACTATGATTTTGTTTAAATAATATGCAAACAACTGTTTTTTTCTATGGTATATGTAGAACGTATAAGACTATTTTGTTTCATTACAAACAATTATGTTTTCTAGATGTCTAACAATTATTAAGACTACAGGTTTGTGTAGTTGTCCATATACGATTCAAACTATCAAGTTGAAGAGTAGTCTAATTGTTTATCCAACTTTGGTTATTTTGTATTCTCTCTAAATCAAAGGCACCCATTTTTAATAATTAAAATTTGTTTCAATTATAAAATATTAATCCTAAAACAAAAATAAATTCCAAAAATTACAATACATCGAGTAATATCTAAAATCATACATTCAAAATATTAATATCATCAAATAATTAATATTTACATAAATAAAAGGACATCATAATTGCCCATTGAGTCAACTAAATTAGTCATTTGTTCCCATATCATACTTGAATTGTTCAAGTTGCATGATACTTCATGAAATGCCTTGCAAATTTAATCAGTCTCATACATGTCATCCCCAATGTAGTAACTGATTCATATCAATAACCTTTATCAACTTCATGAAAGTCTCGCTCTTCTGGATTGACCTAGTAATTGGTTGCATTGAACCTAGTATTAAAAAACAATTAAATTGCATGAATGTGATAACTAAACTTAGTTGTACTTCAAACACCTCTTTCACGCACAAACGCATAATATATTGAAGCAATCCCACACAACCCATAAAAAATAAAATAACTAGTAATTGATTAGCATTAATTGCAGTAATAGTTAACATTTGTTCTTGCCTCACGCACATCAAATGCAGACATGAGATACTTGATGGAGGCTGGATAAAGGCCAAATATGTCCGTTGCTCTGAATAGATCAAATCTTCAAAAAGATCTATTTACTTCTCTACATTGTATTCTATTTGCCGAATCTAATCTTTAAATATGGGTATCTTGTGGAATTGACTCCATGTGAGTAAAAAATTCAATTAACAAAAAAATGTACAACTAATTTATTATTTTATTATTATAATGGTAACAGTTAGGTATTTTGACTATTTATTTTTTAGAAACCCATCATGTACTTTCATGAAAATAGTTCGGTTTGATTCGGGATATAATTTGTTAGAACCATTTGAAAACTTACTTTTCGGTTCGGTACATTATCGTTTCAGTTCGAAACAATATCGAACTGGTATTTTTGCGTACCCCTAATTGAAAGTCTTACATAAGAGTGAGAAAATTTATGGACCAAAAAAAATTTTTTTGCTTAAAAAATCAGATTGCTCATTCTAAAAATTAGATCTCAAATTTTAGAATCCCTCCAGATTTTAGAATCCCTCCACATTTTTCATAAGATCATCTCAAATTTCATTAGATCATGAAAAATTAGATCTCAAATTTCAAAAGCTCATCTCAAATTTTAGAATCCCTCCAGATTTTTCATTACCCGCCTAATACTAATATGTGCCCTCAATTTCGCAATTAGGTCTATCGCCTCAATTTCTATCACAGGTTTTGGATCGCTGGGCAGTCTCCACGAGTTACTGTTCACTGCCGATCTTAAACCCTTGCTTTCACCTTGAATTTGTTGAACTTTTGGACCAATTCTTAGAGCTCTAGAATCGTTTTGGGCATGGCAATCCATTGGGCGCTGGATTGATCAAGAATCTTAGGTCAACCTTCTCGAGTTACTGTTCATCTGCGACTCTTGAAGGTTCAATTCACCTCGGTCCAAGCTCGTTTGAAGGCCAATTTTTGGGGGATTATGGGCGACTTGGAATGCTCTTTCAACACCTGAAATTGGTTTTCCAAACAGGTTGAAGGAAGCTGCGAATTGAGCAAAAATTTTGGACACGGAGTCACTGTTCACAGCGAGTTCTTCAAGTCCAGGTTTATCCATGCTTTTTGCTCGTTTTCCATCCCATTTTCTGGTATTGTGTTTGTGATTCAAGGGCCATTCAACGTCTGGTGTTGGAATCCTAATTCAAACAACTTGATTTTGGTCTCTTTGATTTGGTTGCTCGAGTTACTGTTCTTTGAGTCTTCATGTGGCAGTATGAGAGTTAGATTTGAGTTTCTGATTCTAAATATTTAGTTAATTCTTTAAGCTTTATACTTTATTTCGAAAGGATTTCAGAATTGAAAATTGTTTATGTTCTTAAAAAGTTGTTTCAATGTCTAGCTAGCAAATAAAATTTGGACAATGAATTGGTTCTCTACTTCGCAATCTGTAACTTTAGATTGTTACTTTGCATAGTATGTTTAAGTTTTTTTCTTCTTTATACTATACGCATTACCTTTATTTGTTGATTCAAAAGTAGACAATTCTAACTATATATATTTTTTGTGCTTATTTGTGGCTATTTGAATTTGAGAATTTGTATGCACACCAAAGTGAAAAAAGAACATGAGCTTCATAAATCAGAAATAAGAAATCAGAGTTGATTCTCAACATTTTTCTAATTTTTAGATATGATTTTGCCTATTCTTTTGCAGAGTGTGACGAAGTTTGTCACATATGCTACTCTACTGCCTTCTTGATTGTGTTCGAAAAGTGTTTCATTACTGAATTCAATTTGGGAACTAAAGCTTCAGTGCTCACTTGTAATTTGCGTGAAGGGACTTCAATTTATTTTGGTGGTTTCTCTTCTCTTTTTGGGAGAAAGCTTTCGTTTTAGTCTTGATGATGATGTGTGGCTAAGAAGCAGCGAGGGGAAGTTTTTTAAATTCTTCTCATTAGATTTAGTCAAATGATACATCTAATGAGTATTTTGTTCAATCCTTCATATATAGGAGGGGGCACACGTTCAATGAAATGGCTCACCTTCCAACAAGGCAACTTTTGCAGTACGGTCCAAGGAAGCTTCTGAACCTATACTCCAACCAAGGATATAACTTCTGTGGATGTCCCTCCTGATAATACTAAGGATTGTTTGGTGTCTCCTGAAACCGAGAAGGCTGTTTTGACCACTAGCAAATCTGTGATAACTTTGGATGACGGTGTTACTGAATAGGTTGATGCTGCTTCTTTGTCTCTGATTGGTAATGATGTTCCAGTAAGTATATACACAGGGATATTTTGACTTAAACTCTAATCCCCCGCCCCCATAAATTTATACAAAAAACTAAGTAGGCTTCTTTGATAACTTATGAATCTAGGAGTAAATTTCCTCTCATTAAAACTTTTTAATGAAGGTTTTTCTTTCTTTAACTACAGCTTTTACTCTCATTAAAGGACATATTTCTTATAGTGTTTGTTCATGAAGCTGTAATGGTATTGTTAAGAGAAATAGGACACAACCAGCTGCCTGGAATGGTTTTCTGTGGCATCACTGGGTTTGGCTAGACTACTTCGTTGGAGAGCCACCCAAAGCTGCTGTTGGCAAATCATGATCTCGAGTGCTGCCATTTTCGAATAGCATACTCCATTGTGCTGTTTGTTTGCGGAACTCAGTCTTCTTGAGGGATGGGATGGCACGCATATGTTGCTGGCAGACCAACTTATCCCTTGCACTGAGTGACTTCTGTTTGTTGTGGTTTGGTCTACCACTACCCGTTCCTTTCATACCTTGGTCCCTGATTTTGGTGTTCCAACTTAAAGGAGATGGTGGTCTCTTTCTGCTTCGGGTTTGTTTTGCTGCTTTGGAATTGCTTTGAAGCTGCTGCTGCACGGAACTTGGAGCTGCTGTGCAATAACCTGAGGACCTGCTGCATGATGGTGCTGTTGTGCTCCTGCTGCTACCACTGAGATACTGCCTCGAGGACCTGCTGATGCTCACAGTTTGTGTACAGGTGCTGCGTACAGGTTGAAATTGCACCTACTACTGGATTTCGCTACTGCTTGGGATCTACTGGTGCTGACCATGGAACCTTCTACCTGGGCTGATTTATTGGATACCAAGGGCGGTGGATTTGTTTGAGTTGGTCTTGTGAATTTCTTGGGAAATACACTGGAATGGGGTGATGATGTTGTTCCCTCTTCCACAAAGCTAAAGGGTCAAGCTTAAGTCATTGGGGAGAGTAAAACCATGGCTAAAAACCAATCTTTGTGTAATTGGCACTCCTACCTTGAAGATTTGGTCTTTATTCTTTAATTTGAGTAATTTGAGAATATGGATTTTCATTCTTTGTGTTTTTTTGTTTTCTACTTTGGATTGAAGCAAGCCAATGTACTCTTAATTTTGTTTTTAATAAATTTTGTGTACTCTTATTTGCATCTCGCCATCTTCTTATTATTTTTTGGTTTTATGATGTGAGATTGATTGTTTGTATAGGTTCTCAATTCCCTTTGTGTGTAGCGGGACAGTACCCAGCCACTTTTTCTTTCGTTTCAATGGAAGTGTTTATTTTTTCATGTCCATATAATTGTTTGAAACAATGTTTATTTGATTGTTGTACATATATTGTCCGAAAGTATGAAAGTAAAGTTAGACAGCGTATCCATTTTCATTGTAAAAAAGATAACCGTTATTCTGAACATTTAAAATAGTTCTAGGCTTAAGAACTAGACAACTGCTTAAAATGAATATTCTTAACTTTTAAAATAGTTCTAGGCTTAATACGCACAATTCTCTTAAAAACAGTTTTCTTTACTTATTTTAGATAACCGTGAAAAAAACAGTGTGACACACACTACTAGTAATATATTACGGTTTCTCAAAACTTTGAAAATAGTTCTAGGATTAATAGTCTAACTACTGTTTAAAAAAGGCATTCTTAATTTATTATTAACAACTTGTAATAGATTACAGTTTCTATGAATTTTAAAAATAGTTCTATGCAATATAAATATATTACTGTTACAAGGAAGTCATCTATTCTTGTAATAAACAACTATGCAAAACAAAACCATATGAAACATACAACTAACAATAAAATACTATTTCTTATAAGTTTAAAAAAAGTTATAAACTAAAAAACCAGACTACTGCTTAGATATAGTAGTCTTAACTAATTATTGACAACTGTGGCAACAAAAACTGTATTTTTAGGTGAAACAGACTACTAATAAAAGATTACCGTTTCTCACAATTATAAAAACTGTTCTACCTTTAATTCATATACTACTGTTACAAAAGAGTCTTCTATTCCCATTAGAAACAATGGTGGCAAAAAAACTATATGAAACAGACAACTAGCAATAGATAACTGTTTCTAATAAGTTTAAAAACAGTTCTAGACTAAAACACCAGACTACTGTTTAAATAGAGTATTCTTAACTTATTATTGACAACTTTTGTAACAAAAACTGTATTTTGAACTGACGCAGACAACTAGTGATAGATTACCATTTCTCGAAACTTTAAAAATAGTTTTAAAGCATAGTAGCTAGACTACTGTTCTGTAGCCAAGAAAAAATCACAGTAGTCTGTTTTTTTTAACTACTGTGTTTCCATAAACAGTAGTTAACCAACAGTCGTCTGATACTGTTTTTGGCGTAGTGACTCTTGCAGTCACTCATGTCAAATTTCTTCAACATGTTTTTTACATATTTTGCTTGTGAGATGAAGATACCTTTTTCTGTTTGTTTGACTTGTAGTCTCAGGAAAAAGGTTAGTTCACCTATCATGCTCATCTCAAACTCCATTTCCATAGTCTTTACGAACTTATCAACCTGCTGCTTAGAGGTAGATCAAAAAATGATGTCATCAACATAAATTTGAGCAATGAGTATATCTAAATCATACCTCTTATAAAACATAGTACTATTTGCTCCCCCTCGTTTGTATCCTTCCTTGAGAAGATAAGAGGCTAGTCTCTCATACCATGCACGTGGAGCTTGTTTCAGCCCATAGAGTGCTTTCCTCAGTTTGTAGACATGATCTAGATGTTTTGGATCTTCAAACCCCTTTGGTTGTGCGACATATACCTCTTCTTTCAGATATCCATTGAGAAATGCAGTTTTCACATCCATATGGTATAGCTTCATATCAAGGATGCAGGCCATGCTAATCATCATACGAATGGATTCCAATCTCGCGGCTGGAGCAAATGTTTCTTCGAAATCTATTCCCTCAACTTGTGTATAGCCCTGAGCTACCAGCCTTACTTTATTTCTGATCACCTTCCCGTCTTCATCTGTTTTGTTCCGAAAGATCCATTTTGTCCCAATAACATTTATACCCTATGGTTTTGGGACCAATTCTCATACACTGTTACGTTCGAACTGTCCCAGCTCCTCTTGCATAGCATCTATCCATGGTTCTTCTTTGAGTGCCTCTTTTATGTTCTTCCGCTCGACTGAGGAGGTGTAGAAGGCATTTATCATCTGAACAAAATCTATCTTCTTTTTACGGGTCTAGATGCCTTCTCTAGTATTTCCTATGATATTTTCTGGTGGATGATTTTTATGGACATGTGTGGGAACTCCTGTTGACTCTTCTGACCCTGTAGTTTGATCTTCCTCATCGTTTCTGTGCTCTCCAGGATCTGTCACTTCCTGTTCTGGAGTTGTTTCAGTTTGTGTTTCAACAATTTTAGGATCATCACTGCATTTTCTTGGTATTTGATCATTTACCACAACATTTATTGATTCAATGATATTCCTGGTTCTTTTGAGTAATACCCTGTACGCCTTGCTATTTGGCGAGTAGCCAACAAATATTGCCTCTTCACTTTTGGCATCAAACTTCCCCTTCTGTTCTCTATCTCGTAGAACATAGCATTTTGCTCCAAAGATGTGGAAGTGTGCCAGGTTTGGAGTTCTTCCTTTCCATAACTCATATGGAGTAGCCTTTGTGCCACTTCTAATGTATACTCTATTTATAGTGTAGCACGCTGTATGAACCGCTTCAGCCCATAAGTTCTGAGGCAGGCTCTGTGTGTTTATCATAGTGCGAGCCATCTCTTGTACATGCCTATTCTTTCTCTCAGCTATTCCATTCTGTTGTGGTGTTTTAGGAGCAGAGAACTCATGCTGAATTCCTTCTTTATTGTAGAACTCACTGAAAGGCAGGCTTTCAAACTCCCCTCCATGGTCACTTCGTACACGAATGACTTTTTTTATCTTGAGCTTTTTCTCATTTTGTACCTTGTTGCACAGAGTGACAAAGGCTTCTAATGCATCATCTTTGTGTCTCAGGAAGCTTACCCAGGAGTATCTTGTGTGATCGTCTACTACAATAGTACGAATCTCTTCCCTCCAACACTCTCAGTTTTCATTGGTCCAAAGAGATCAATGTGTACGAATTCCAAAGGTCTCGTTGTTGATTGATACACCTTTCTTGGATGACTTACACGTATTTGTTTCCCCTTTTGACAGGGACCACACACTTTTCCTTCCAGTCTCTTGATCTTGGGCAATCCACGAACTGCATCTGAGTTCGAGAGAGTTGTAAGATCTTTAAAGTTTAAATGACCAAGCCTGTAATGCCATAGTCTTGCATCTTATTTGCTTGCCGGGAAGCATAGAACATTCGGAGTGACTTTGTAACAGTTGTTAGTTGTTTTATCACCTTCTAGCACCACCAGTTTGTTCTTGTCTTTCACACAACATTTTTGTTGAGTAAAAATGACTTCCAGCCCTTGATCACATATCTGACTGATGCTGAGGAGGTTCACTTGAAGTCCTTGTATAAGCCATACATTCTTGATTGGTGGAAGTCCAGACACATTTAGTATTCCACACCGTATAATTTTGCCTTGTGCTCCACCACCAAATCTGACGTTCCCTCTTTCAACTGTATTGACATTTGTAAGATTCAGTTTGTCCCCAGTCATATGGTGTGAACATCCACTGTCTAGCAGCCACTGATCAGGAGCTTTGCTACCATGACTTTGCCTTTTGGAACCCAGATTTGTTTGATTTTCTGGATTCTCACCTTCTTAGATTTTAGCTTATGACAAGTTCTTTTGATATGTCCCCAACCTCTGCAGTAGTAACACTTGTAGCATTGGTACACCCAAGGAATGCTTTTGTGAGACTTCATGTGATGTTTATCTATATAATTTTTGATTGGTTTTACAGCTGTGTGATGGTTGCTTCTGATATTCTCCTCTGCCGTCACTTTATCTTCTTTGGGTAACCCGTCTGCTTTGTTTTTGCTGATGCATCCAATTCCCTGTCTGTCGCCTGGTACTTTGAAGATCATTTCCTGGGCATCCAACACTTCTGCCCCTGCAATCTTCATCCACTTGACATAGTCTTTGAGCTTCTGCAACTCAAATTTTAGATTGGCATTATTGGTTTCAGCTTTCTCTAGACTCTGCTTCAAGGTTTTCAGATCAAGTGCTAGTTTATTCTTTTCTGCTATGTTCCTTCTGTTTACCATGAGCAGTTCAGTCAATTTTTCTTGAAGATCCATGTGCTGCTCAATTAGATCGTCTGATTCTGATTGTGAAGTAAAGGCACAGTTGCTCTCACCACAACCTTGATCTTCGTCAGTATCCTCATCACTCCAGGTAATTGAAAAAGCTTGTCTTTTCTTTTTAAGATTGTTTGCACATTCTATATGAATATGCACATGTCCTCCACATTCAAAGCATAATGGCCCTTTGTACTTGGAACTGTTGTCATAGGATTTTCCTTCCTTGAAACGTGATTCCCTGAAAGTAGATGTCTTAGATGGTCCCTCTTGATTTGTGTTCTTTCCTTTCTTTTGGATCCACTTCTTTTTGAACTGTTTTGTGAATAAGGAGAGCTGCTCCTGAAATTCTTCATCAAAAGTTAGACCATCTTCTCCATCTCCCTCCTGGTCTGTTCCCAAGAAGGCGATTTGTTTCTCAGGCTTTCTTCTCTTGCTGTCCTCCTTCATATTTAGTTCAATTGTTTCAAGATTACCCATCAGAGCATCAAGTGTCATTTTTTTCGTATCATGTGACTGTGAAATTGCCTTGACATCCATGTCAAACCTCTCTGGCAGTGACCTGAGCACCTTCAATACAAGTTTTGATTCCGGAAAGGGTTCTTGTAATCTGGCTGCTTGATTTGCAGGATCACGCACTCTTCCATGAAATTCAACAATAGTCTCTTTCTCATCCAATCACAGATTCTCATATTGTGTCATGAGAATTTGATATTTGGCAATCTTGACCTTTTCATCACCTTCATGTGTGACTTCGAGAATATCCCAGGCTTCCTTTGCACTAACACAATTTGAGATGAGATGGTATTGTGTTGCATCAACAGCTCCAAAAATGGCATTTAGGGCTTTGTCATTATATTCAGCAGCAACAACTTCTGTTCTGCTATACACTTCAAATTTCTTGATAGTTGAAGTGGACAAGTCTTCTGAAAATTTAACTGGTTCTGTCCAACCAGTCTCAACAGTTCTCCATACTCCTCCTCCTTGTGATTTCAAAAATGCCCTCATGCATCCTTTCCAGAAGTTGTGGTTGTGACCATGCAGCAAGGATGGCCTTTGAACACTGGCTCCTTCCTCCATGTCTCCCATGTTTTGTGATCGTTATAAGCTAGCAAGATAAGCTCACCTGCTCTGATACGAATTGAAATTTCAACACGTACAGCGTAGTATATAAACCAAATAAAAACACAAGCAACACAACTAGAAAGCTGTTGGAAATTGTGTTGTAGCTCAACTGTTCGTACCACCGAATGCTACAACACCTTTTCTAACACCAGCGCTAACACACACACATCAAAAGCAAGTAAACACACAGAGATTTGTTTACGCAGTTCGGAGCTAACTCTCCTACGTCTGCGAGGCCCACATCCGTGTAATAGCCTTTCCACTAGATCAACATAAGAATTACACAATCAATCTCAACAGATCTTTCTACTGAATTGACTTGTCTACTTACGTGATCTGACACCAAACTCGGTTTGTGTCACTCCAGGCCTATTACACCTTCTTCTTGCTCTGCACGAAGAATGTGTCTCCGACCTTTGCTCAGCTAACCAAGTTTCGACAGCTGAACAATCTCTAGAGAAGATCCAGGGCTGACCTTCTCATATGACTCTCTCATATGTGTATTCTGATCAACTTGCTTCTCTCTCTCTCTCCGTTATGATATATGAATATTAGTCCTCCGAGTCTCTAGCCTCTCTTCCATATGCGTCTTCATATATATATATATATATATATATATATATANTGAGTCCCAGAGAGTTTCGTTGCGCCTAGACTTCTTCTGTAAGATTAACCCGGTATTCATCACGTGGCCAGAGAGTACCCAACCGATAGAAGTCCTCTTGATACATAGTATCACATTACTGAACTCCTTAGGAAAAACCAAGGGATAGGAGTCCCAATGGATAAGAGCCCTTGCCGTAAAAGAACACTAAACCATGGATTCCTTGACAATGATGACTGACAGGATGCTACAGCTCTGACACAACATGAATACGCTAACAATACTACAGAAAAGGTTTTGTCAAAAAATTATGCCAACTTAAATTACACAAACGTTAACTACTGGGAACTAACAATCTCCCCCTTTGGCAATTTTTTGACAAAAACCACTATTCAGCCGTTTTTGAACCTCTTCTCCCCCTTTTTGCATAAAAAATGCCAAAGAATTTTATTTTATTGAAAGAATATATTGGGGAAAAAAAGAAGAGTAATATTCAATACGGTCAAGAATAGTTACAAACAGAGAATAGAAGCAAGGAGATGTACCTACATCAGTCATCGCTGTCTTGCCATAGAGTTGCAGAAAAGGGCAAGACATAGAGCGCACATCTTAGTAGACCATATGGGAAGTAAGTGCAGCAAGAAGTAAAGTTTACCAGAAATCTTCAGTAGCAGAACAACAAACAAAAACTGGCTCCATAGGAGCATAGCAACATGTCGGCAAAAATAGTGAATCAGGCCAAACTGGCCAAACATAACCCAGGGCAAAAACAAGCCCTTAAAACTTGCATAGAGTTTGATAATCCCTTCAGAGAAACACACAAAAGAAATTATTCTTCATCACTGAATTCCTCAGTGTCTGGTGTTCCTTCAATAGTTGCTGTGTCCCCCTCTTCATCTGGCCTGCTGGCTGTCAGTTGTATTTGTTGGCTCAACTTCTTTGTCATTGTGCTTCTCCCCCTGTCTCCTGTCACCTTTGGCCTGACGCAGTGTATTTGCCACATGAATCAGTGTGTCCCTTCTTGCAGCTGCCCTCTGTGCAATCTCATTGTGATAATCAATGTCCTGCTGTAGTGCCTTAATCTCCTTTTCCACAAAGCTGAGTTGATATTCCACTGAAGCCGGGTTCTGTGTAGGAGCTGTGGTTGTTCTTGCGACAGCCATGTCATTGAAGTGACTTCCTTCAAGGTGCCTTCCATCTACCTGCAGCAAAGGGGGTATGGGTTCTTCCTCTTCATTCTCCTCCTTCTCAAAGCTTTGGTCCTTTAGAATGCTGTAAATCAATAGTGGATAAGGAAGACCATTTTTGTTCTTATTAAATTTTGCTACTGCAAATTTCATCACCTATTTAAACACAATCCTACCCAGATCAAAAGGAGCATTATTTTTTGTTCTATAGATTAAGGTGGCCATGCACAGAGGAACTGTGTTGGTATGAGTGGTTGGAAGCCAGTGAAAAGCAGCAATTCTAAGAAGGAGAGCATATGAACTTTTTAGTACAGAGGATGGTACTTTTGATTTCCCATGTTGGTAGTCCTTTAGCCCATTTGTAAGGTCATTCCATACAGTTTCTTCAGCAATAGGGGAAATCACAGGATTGGGGGTAGTGCCAAGAAAGGTATTTATGACTGAGGGTGAGAATTCATACAACTTTCCACGAACAAAGACTTTGTGGTAGGAAGGATCGCCATCAGTAACACCGGAATCAGATAAATTATAGAAAAACTCTTGGACTACTTTCTTCACATATGAACCAGGCAAAGTGACAGATTTAAATAGTTTGTTTGAGTGGAGTATGGGCAACAGATTTGTTTTCTTGTTAAAATCAGGCACATCAAGATTTCTTTGTGGTATAATGGACTTCTTCACAACATCAGGAAAAAATGATTTTGCAACAGTTGACTGAAAAAGTTTAACAAAAAGCTTCCCTGAATCGCAGACTGTTTTTGAGCCCTTGGTGCTTCTGGTCTCCCTTCCTTTGGTAGATGAGGTTGGAGCATCTGTTGGGAATTTTGATTTCTTGACGGGAGGAGACGGTGAGGGGCGCACTTCTCTTTCTTTTCTCTTCTTCATCTTCTTCTTCTTTCGCTCAGACTCTTGGGCTTCCATTTGCTCTTCCACTGGATCCTCTGTGGGTTGAGTGGTCTTGGATTTTTTCAGAGACCACGGGGTAGGTCCCAATGGATAAGAGCCCTTGCCGTAAAAGAACACTAAACCATGGATTCCTTGACAATGATGACTGACAAGATGCTACAGCTCCGACACAACATGAATACGCTAACAATACTACAGAAAAGGTTTTGTCAAAAAATTATGCCAACTTAAATTACAAAAACGTTAACTATTGGGAACTAACACAAAATACATCAAATTGGGGGTTATACTTTTGATTAAGAGAACAAAATATTTTATACTGGCTTTTGAGTCTTCTTTTATGTGGTAATTATTTGGAGCAGATACTTAATGGGCTTAAATTAAGATAAATTATCAAGGTATCATAATGGTAGGTAGACACTAAGGGAAGGTTTTTGAAGGAGTTGAATGGATGATAAATTCTATATTATCACTAGGTTATATATAATCTTCTATTAAAGATGTGAACTTGAAGTTTAGCAAAGAAGATTGTACTAAGATATTGCAAATACATTATGAATTTTATGTGTCAATTGTAAATGCTTCGGTTAGAAGTGAATTCTTGACATTTTCTCAACTATTAAAAAAACAATAGACTTATTATAAGGAACCTGTAGTTCCAACATATGAGAACCTGAAGTTCTCTTTCACATAAATTTTATATACACATGTTCATTTTTATTAATCCTTCCCTATAAAGAAAATTTCAAATCTTCAAAATTTTTAGTTTCTGACACTTGATATCTCTCAAAGAGAAACAAGTTTGTCCCTTCTGACAATATTTGATTGTGTGCCTTATATGCCCCTCCCCCACTATGCATCCAATATAATGTAGAAGACTGAGTATTGATATTGGTTTTAACTCATCACCTATTGTTAAATGTTTAGAGTTTTTTGACATGGGATATATTTACACCAAAGTAAACTGATTGTTAATTTTATGATGAAGAATTCCCAGTCTTAGGGAAGACACGAATAATGAAAGACTGGTAATACAAGAAATTATATGAAATGCATCGTCATTGTAAATGTTTGGTTCCTGAAGTGATCAATGTAATTTTGAAGTCTGATTTGCAAAGAAGAGCAAATGAATTACTAGATGTGTTGAATCACGGTTTATCACTTCGTAATACTAAAGCCGTGTCTGTTTTTGTTACAGGTTTTGATAATGCCAAACCGCCGTGAAACAAACGCAAGAAAAGAATACACAAGGCGAGAATCAAGAAGACGAGAACGAGAGCCTAAAAGAGAACCAAGAACAAAGACTTAGGTGTAAATGTATTGAGTCGATCCTATTGTGATCAAGATCGACCCAAGACTCATCTATTGGCTCTTTAGGCTAAAGAATTCTCTCTTGCATTTGCATAACATCAAAATACTTTTCAAATATGTCTTTTGTGAAAAACCTTTCAAAACATGTGTTTTAATAACTCTCCAAACCAAAACACGTTTTTAATCAATGAAATATCTTTGGAGAGCTTTTGCTGATTTGATGGCGAACCACCCAACCAGCGATGGTCATCTCAGACCCATCGCTGGTCAGATGGTCTTCAGACCAAGGCTGGTAAACCACCCAACCAGCGATGGTAAACTTCACCCATCGCTGGTCAGATGGTTCCTTGTACCAAGCTGGCAAACCACCCAACCAGCGATGGTAAGCATTACCCATCGCTGGTTAGCTGGTCTTCAGACCATGTTGGCACTGAACCTCAAAACCAGCGATGGTAGGCATTACCCATCG